TTTTGGGCTTCCGCTTCCCTCTATAACTCCATACTCTTGATTTCCAGTCATGTTTTCTAATTTATTAATTATTACAATTGACACTGTCAAAATGCTACTTCTTTAGCAGATTTACTGAAATGCTACTTCTTAGTTGATTTTTTGAAATGCTTTTCATTATTTACCGTTCCTTTTATAATAAGCGGGGAAACCGGAATGATTTTCATAATAATCAAAATTTGTCTCACAGCATCATAAGTTATTTAACTACGAATGCCCAAGGAACCAATGAACAGACTCTTACTATTATGGTTGCTAATCTGAGATGCTGAGATGATTGATGGCCAATGACAAGGAATACGTATTTGGCATCCGTTCTCAGAACGTTAAATAAACAATTAACTGAGGAACAAACAATCGGGTTAAAGACACTATTACCATTACCCAGAGTAGTAAGGAATATTTATAATACTCGACGCAAGTCATACCAAATGCATTGTTTTGCGTTAAAACTTTATTCCTCATCATTTCTTTGTAAAAGATGTTTCATGTTCTAATAATTGATTTACTGTTTTAGACATTCCTGATCCTCCAAAGTCTTTGATATCAACATATTAATTGTTGGTAATCATAATAGGTCACTCGATTCCTGCTTTGTGCAGCACAATGACATCTATTGTGCACTCCGAGACCGTTTCTCATTCGTGCACATCACCTTGGTCCAGTTTACTTCACTTGCATTATTAATGGTGGTATATAAATTGGGGTGAGGATGTAAACCGGTATCAGTATATCCCATTGGGCTTCTCATTACACAAAAAGACCCTTACATTCCAATCGATTCATGCGAATCAACGACTGCGCCAAACTACAATTTACTATTGCATGACAAATACACCACAACAGCCGCATTATTCCGCCACATTTTTTGCCCAACAAAATTCACCCTCCCCTAAATTTTCTTCGTATATTAAACAAAACTTTAAATTTTTTTTGACCTTGACCAAACCTTTTTACCTGATACTTTCCCTGCAAACTTTTTCTGTTTTGTACAGTGTCACCCTTCTAAAAAGTTTATCCGTACCGTATCAGTTTTCTCTTGGCGCCAACTTTCTCTGTTCAATAATCTTTTCCTTAGCATTTATTAAGAAACGTTAGTGTTTTATGTCAATCGAAAATCTTAAGACCTACGGTAAGTATTAGTAGGCAAAGACAAAACAAAGAGAGCGGGAGAGTCGAGTTAGGGTTCCTACCGTGCAATCTGAATAGTATAATAACGGTGGCTTGACTAGCAAGCAGCAAGTTTAGACATGTTAATATCTTGACAAAAATAGCACATGCTAGCTACGGAACTGTGTCCATCCAAAAAGCAAACTGACATTCCTACGATCATTTCAGACCCTTTCGCTGACACCGGTGAAGACGAAGGACAACCCTCTGGGTATATTCGTATCCTTTCTCTACGCTTATAACTGCCGATATCGTGTTATAGTTCAGTGTACGAACTTCCCTTGTCAATCCTTAACCGTTGGTTAAACAGATATTCGTATACAACAAAGAAACGGCAGAAAAACTCTAACTACTGTACAAGGTATTCCAGCTGAATATGATCAGAGGAGACTGCTGAAAGCATTCAAAAAAGTAAGTGGATGCGTACATGTGGAAGAGATGAGTGCGCCTTAGCGGATCGCCTTTTTACACTCAAAAAATACGTCTTTGATTCAACAATATTCACGTCTTTTGTTCAAATCTTTTTTTATAGGAGTTTGCCTGTAATGGCACACTCGTGCAAGATGAAGAACTTGGTCAAGTAATTCAACTTCAAGGAGACCAGCGACTCAAAGTCCAGGGTTTCCTGGCATCAGAAGGAATTGACAAAAAGATAATCAAACTCCATGGTTTCTGAAAGGACTGCTTTCTCCTGATTTCTCGCTTAATACCTCTTTTTTTTTTCTAACTGATAAGCTTGATGCAATAGTTTTAATACGAAAAGATGTCCTTTAGTATTTTCGGTTCTTATGTGTCCCATTACAACTTGTTTTTTATTCAATTTCATCTGACAAGATTAAATTAATTTTGAATTCTTCTAACATAAGAATTAGAGCTTTTCAAGGATTTTCTGAATAGACTTATTGGCCACGAGTTCTTGAAGCCTGTCATTACCTACAGGGTTTTAAGCATTAGTCACAGAGAGGACAAGTTGGCATGTCATAATAACATCAATCTTGAATACGGAGTTAACTCCCAGTCGTTTCAATAGTTACCTCCAATATGCTGTTGTCTAATAAAAATATTAGGAACAGTGGATTGTTTTGTTTTTTGATACAAATATTCTTGAATATCAGATCCCTCAGCTAAAGAAAAAAAAGGCCATGTATGAGCAAATCACGGGCATCTTTTGATCCTTCATCTCATCGTTATTACAAACAAATCACTCACGCTCTCCTTCGGGCATCTTTGCTAAATCAACTTTTTCGTATTGATCCACAAGATTATTGATCGTTGCTTCAGCTCGCCGACAATATGGACACCAATTCTTGACGAACAAGATTACGGCGTTCTCGGCAATTTTTCTCTTTTATTAAGATCAAAGGAAATATGTCAAACAAAAGTTGGGACATGTCCTATACATCACCTACGAGCAACCGAAATCCAGGCTAGGCACTCTTTCCCCTCCAGACACCTCATACCTCAACAAATTCTCGTGCGGCAACAGACATCATTAAGTTTATAAGTCACTTTCTATCCCTCCCGTCTCCACATTGGCTATTTATCTGCTTTCTTGATATGATGTATTTGTCATCATCGTTACCTTATTTGTATGGTAGCATGGAGGGTGATGACGAACGTCGGACAATTTCGGAATGTATTGTTTCGGGCAAGCCCGTTGTTTCGAACCTTCGAGTCGCGCCCTTTTTTGATTACCATACTCCCTCGCATAGCGTGTGTAGGTTTGTGCGCTTATTTTGTACATCGTAAACAGAATACGTCATTTAACATTTCCGCTGGCCTTACTTTACCAAGTATGCGATAGGTTGTGATGCTTATGATGGTGTGAAACTTTGTTTAAAGAATCGCCCTTATCATCAACATGCCATTCGCTACAATTCAGTTGCAAGAAGATAATAAACGGAATCGCGATTCCCATGCGTGTTTCCATTTATTTATACATGCCCCGAAGACTGTGTCTTGATATATAATATATGCAATATTGTCTAGAAAATTTTTGTGACGTAGTACTATAAAAATTGCACGCCCTAAATTTTGACGCGGCGTTCTTTTTGTTAGTAGACAGGAGTGTGGGTTAAGAGCTCTTGGTCTGGACAGTAAGTTCGACGCCAGTGCAAGCTGGGACTGCAATTCTTACAAGGATGGGTTTCTAGTCCGATGCTTTTTTTGCTCTGTACTGTTATTGTGAAGCGTTTCTAGAACACATTAGAACCGTGAAAGACTTTGCACGAATCAAAGTCGATCGTCCGCAGGTGAAGCTAATAAACTGCAATCATCAAAACGCAGTCAAGTGAATTTTCCGTCCAATGGTACAATTATAGACTGTGAATTAGACTGTGAATATGAAACACGTTAATGTGCCAAGGCTGTGTTACCCGATATATAATTTGTATGTAATCACTTTGTTCATTTAATGCTAAATTCTAATAGTAATAACTAATAATTAAAGGCATATATACATGCAAAGTATCCTACTGCTCCTAGCATC